TGATTGATCTATTCTGGGTCTTTGTACTTAATGGTTCCCCTTCTGGACATTCAACAATGGTCTATTTTAGAATTTTCCCTTTGGTCATTGATAAGGAATTAAACATTTTGTGGTACATGAATCTAATAGAATATTACTGAGCTACAAGAATTGGTGAATATAAGGAATACAGAGAGATGACTGACAAAGAAAAATGAAGTCGAACCAGGAAACAATATACACAAAGACAATAATAGCAAAAATGGGGGAAAACCTGAACTTGAATGTTATTTAATAATAATAATAATAATAATAATAATAATAATAATAATAATAACCAAGATTAGCCCATCTCATGAAATATATATAAGAATGCACCCCCTACTCTTGCTTACAGAGCCATGGCATTTTGCAGGTAGAAAGCTGCATTTACTGACGGACTTGGTTAATGTGTTGATTAGTTATTATGAACTGCTTTTTCCCACTCTCCCTTCTGTTCTTTTATTATAATAAAAATGGATTTCTGGGTTGGGGTAGGAAGAGGTATACTAAAATGGAGGTGATATAGAAAACAAAAGATAATGAAATGCAAAACAAATAACTCAGGATCTTATGGGGACATCTGGATATCAATTCAGAACAGGAAGAGGTAGGATTTCTTTTAAGGATTATCAGTTTGTAGCTGGCAGGAATATTGGTGATTTAGAGATGATTTAATGCAACTCCCTCCCATTATAGAGAAGGAAATTGAGGCCCAAATAAAGTTAAGTGATTTGCCCAAGGTCATAAAAATAGCAAGTGGTAGGACTATGATTCAAGTCTCATTCTTCTATTTCTAACCCCCCCCCCACTATTTTTTTTTTTGCTATGTTCTGCTGAAACATCCCTAGCATGTTTTTCTTCTTTCATATTCAAGGACAGGATAGTTTTTTTCTGATAACAATCTATTGGATCCAGAAAAACATTTTTCCTAATATTCCTGTTTTATATAAAAACAACTTTTTTTTCCCATGGGAAACATCAATGTATCACTTAGTGGTCAAATCCTTTTACAAGATTAAATAAGAAAGATGAAGCATTACCCTTATTGAAACCAACACTTCTAACCCATATTTGAATACACTGAGGATACCCTTCTTAGTTTTCAACTTGATTTACACAAAGTCAGGGAACCTGGGGCTTTAACATCCTAATTCTTTATTTCTGGAAATTTAGAGCTCACCTTGGTTTTCTGGAGCCATGTGCTCTAGCTTCCAAGAATAAACTCTAATACAACATTGACTTTTCAGAGAAGAAGGTGGAATCACGCTTAACTCAAATCGGTTAAGTTTATACCGATGCTAAGCAATGGGAATTCGTTAGCCCGTTTGCAAGCAATGGCCAAGCAGATGTGCCTTATAAGACATGATCCATTTATTTAATTGGCTATGTAGATGAAAATTGGTGGCATCCAGGTTTCTTTTCTATGACCCCTTTTTTCTTTTCAGAGGTAGGGAGCTATGGGTGGAATGTTACATCTTTAGTTGATTAGTGGATTAGTTTTTGTGAACTGATTGACCCTTTCTGGACCATTCCTCATTTTACTTCCCATTTTCCTTCACTTCTAGATAACTACCTTCTCAAACCATCATTTTCATGGCTTCTCCTCCCTTCCAAATGATTCCTTGACCATATAAGCATTTTTAGAGTCTAGCTTTCTAACCCCTTCTATGGAAATGGAAACTGACATCTTATCATTTTCCTTCTTCTTCCACAAAAGAAAATTAAAATTGGCAAAAATACTTCTAATAGGCTTTACCCAGTAGCATTCTATCATTTACTCACCAGTAGTAAAACGATTCTGATATGTATTGGCCAAGAAAAGAATGACTTTACCCAAAATCTGAGTACCAAATGAGTCATCGTTCCAAACACCAATATATCCTCCAACATAACTAGAGAGTATTTCCCATAAAAAGTGCCTAGCTTTTACTCTTCTCTATGCATTCTGGTTTTTTTATGTCTTTCAGATTATACCACATACTTGTAAATGCCACATTTGTAACCAAATGCAGGTATTTTTATGTTTCTGTATCTAAATTTGAAAGTGATAGATCTTATTTTCAGGGGATGGAAAATCCAAGTCTCTTGATCATTGAAAAGAGTTGATGCCTTTCTCAGTATGGGCCAGACAAAATAGCCCACAATCCTCCCCTTGCCTATTTTTAAGGCCCTACTCCCCTCTTGAGATCAATGGAGCAGATAGTCCAACTGACATGGAATTACCTATTTGTTCAAGTCATTTTGTATTTTTCCCTCCTTTGGAAGAAAAAAAAAAGTTTAGAGCTACAGAAAATATTTCAAGTGAAGTCATTTTCTTTCTACTCTACCCCCCACCTCTACAAAAAGTAGCCATCACTACTGCATTCCTCTTATCTAGAACAAATGAATGGAAATGATCCTGGTGTGAGGCAAGGCACAACGCATTTATTAAATGCAGATTATATATACTACAGACATACAGTACCTTTGCCTTTAGATGACCATGTGAAACCACTTGGCACTGAAACTGGACTTATGGCACAGCCAGTCATCACCACCAAAGTCTTCTATTAATCTAATGATAAGCAAGCCAAACTGGATGAGTGCCTGGCACATAGTAGGAACTTGGTAAATGCCAGCTGACTGAACCACTGACCCAGGAAATCCAGAATCCTTTACTGCCAAATAGTACTGAGGCTTTAGGTTACCTGCGAGTGCTGATGTGTCTTGTAATCACTAATTATTTTAAGCTGTGCAATTGAATGTACTGAACTAATTACAATGCATTTCAGTCAAGCTTGGGTTTGGCTTTCCTTCCCTATATTAATAGAGTTCTAAATTATAACTCCTCAATTCCAGCCCTAGCAGATGTTATGGTTACCTCAGTTTTACAGCCCTCGGATGACAGACAATTCACTGGATTTGGCCATAAGGATAATTACAGTGCCTTTGGATTAGAAATTTGGGTTCAACCCCAAGCTTGGAGTAGCAGGGGGTTACTTCATCTAAAATAAGTTTGTTCTCATGGGCTAGCTGCCTATACTGAGATTCCTTCCAATATGCTAATGCAAGGGATTTGATTGTAAGGCTAATCTCCTCTTTGAAACTGGTTATGGTCAGAAAAGAAAAAAGCTGGATTGCAATGAAACCTCTTGCTAAATGCACATGCCCTTCTTGTGTCTTTAATCTTTTTCTGACCAGAACAAGATGTTGAGTCCATTGAGCTCCAAAGAGCTAAGAACACCTAAGATGAAGTAAGCCATTTTTCCTTTTCTTTTCCTTTTTAAAAAAAATAGATTTGTGAATCCTTAGGAGAGAAAAAAAAAGCTTTCAAGCTATGTATTCCTTTTTGCAGAATTTTTATGAGTAACTCAAAGAGCACAGACTGCATTTTACATCAAGTGTAACTGTGTGACCTTGGACTTTTACAGAAGTGTTACCTGACCCTGCATTCCCAAAGGTTGTGCCAATGGAACCCAAGCTCTGATAGGCTCAGGTCAATTCCAGAAGCATTTCAAATACTGGGTTTGACCATGGGGATACAGGAATAAAAAGAATACAATTCTTGCCTTCAGGAAACTTATATCCTATTGGGGGGTGGAGAGGTAACATGTTATACACTAATAACTAAGATGGAATGATTCTGTTCCCTCTGAAAGACTTTCAGTTATTCTGAATATAATTTGTATGCACATAAAAAAATGTGAACTCCTTGAGAACAGGAATCACATTTTTGCCTGTCTTTATATACTCAGCTTTTAGCCCAGGGTCTGGCACATAGTAGGCACTTAATGAATGCTTTTGTTGATGTTCTGCTGCTGAATATGATGATAATGATGAACCAGGGAAATCAGGGAGTGGCATGGAGCTGAGCTTAGAAAGAAGTTACAGATTTTTAGAGTTGGAAGTGAGAAGAAGTACACCAGGTATTCACACCAGTGAACAAAAGCATAGATGTAGGGAATGGCAGGTCATGCAATGGCCTCAATATGTGAGTCTCCATTGAGCTGTAGAGGCTTCAGATACGTGGCTAATGATGATTGTCCATTGTTCAAGGACCAACCTAGCTAAACTCAGAGTACACCCTATTAAACCCCTGAAGAGTTGTGATGAGACCACATATCTTTAAGGTACTGAAGAAGCATTATCTGACTTTGGAATACATAAAAGAATCTGGGCATTTGAGGCATTTATAGAAGCCATCTGATTTTGCCAATTTGCACTCCTTGCAGCCCTGAAGCTAGATTTGAAAGAAATACTTACCATGGCACCATTCATAGGATAACAATGACTTGTTTCAAATGTATCAAAAAACAAAGGCCTATGCTATTAAATATCATGACTTTTTTCATCTGGGTACTCTTCTTTTTACTACGAATTTTCTTTGAAAGCTTAATCATTTGTTAAACAAAGTTAAATCAACATCATCTTCACATGAACATATGTCTTCTTTTTTAGGAAAGCATGGCTTTGCCCATTCGATGTGCTGTCTGGGGCAGTCACCTGTGGTTGTTCTAAGTTCTTCCATTATTTGAGATTTTAGTCGTATCATATATTAGTTATACCTAGAGACTAGTCCTAGTTCCCTTCTGTCCTTCTCTTCACTTGATATTCCTACAGTCACCAACTCCCAAGATGCTAATTGTGTTAGGAACTAAAAATTCAACTTGTATATAACAAGCAATATGGAAAGCTACATGTAACTCTTTCTGCAATCATCAGTTGTCTCTCCCTGAGCTTGGTGTTAGCACCCATCCATCCACATTCAACAAATTCTTCAGGGGCAGAATCCAAGCTTTCTATCTTTGGACTTCACAAAAAGAATTGACCTTTGACATCACATTGTTTGAGCTGGTGGTCTCAGTGGTTTGGTAGAAAACAGGTCAGGGTGGCTAGAGGTGGGAGGGAAGAAATAGAAGGATATTCATTCACCCATAAGATTTAAAAGCAGGGATGAGTGGGACTCAATCCACCTGACCTAAATGCGCTTCCATTCATACCTGCGGTCTTCCTTAGAAAAGCACTGGTCCACATCCACAGACAGGGAAGCCAGGGCAGAAACAGTCTCTGTTTCTTCTCGCTCTTGTTCGTGAGTGCCAGTCAGAGCACAGCCTGAATACCTCTCTACTGACTTCCAGTACTTGCCTAAAAGAAAGAGGCATCACAATTTATGGCTGTTTGAACCTGCAGAGAAATTAGCAGAACAATCACCCAGAGCCAACAAAGAGGGGTTGAGAAATTAAAAATCCCTATGCCCACCACAGTTGTGGTCTATGTAGAGGCAAAACACTAACTAGGATGGGGTTTTCTTCCAACAGAGCAAGCAAATAATAAGATGAGCCACTGCTTGTGGCCTGAGAGTCCATCTTCAGATTGATAGCTTGCCTGGCTGACAAAGAGGTCAGCTGTGACATTGGTTGGGGCAGGAGAGAGCTCTAGAGAAAGTGGGAGGTAAAGGCAAGATCAGAAAGGGAGATAAAAATGTCTGTGTCTGTCTATCTATCTATCTATCTATCTATCTATCTATCTATCTATCTATCTATCTATCTATCTACCTATCTATCTAATATTCTCTCTCACACACACATTCTCCTCTCTTCTCTCTCTCCCTCTTCCTCTCTCCCCTTCTTACAAAGCCCTAAAATAAGGGGAAATAAAACCCCAGTGTTGCTTGCAGGAAACAGCCCAGCAGCAGTGAGAGAGGCAGAAGAGTCAGGTTTATTAGTCCTGGATGTACTTTCTCCTCCAGCCTCAGGGTGTGACTGGAACAATAAGTTATTGAAAACTTTGCTACACAAGCACTCATGCATTTGGAGACCCATATGTTAAAAAGGCAAACACTGAGAGTATGTGTGTGTGTTTTTTTAGGGGGAGGGGACCATGAGGTAGGGACTCTTCATTACATAAAAAACATATCAGAGGCATAAAACTGAAGGCTCCAGGGCTGGTCTTCTTGAATGTCCAAAGGTATTCTTCCAAAAGCTGCTACAGAACCCGAAATCAAGCACTGGAGGGAAGAGTGCTTCTGACTACATGATGATCTGACCAATCCCATAGAGAAGCAGGTTAACAGAAACTCTGTGGTCCAAATCGTGAAGGGGGGATCAGGCGTGGCGATTGCTGCCTAGGGTAAGATAACATCACAGGTAATTTGACTCAGGTCCTGCACGAAGATGGGGGATGAAGGGACCTCAAAGAAAAACAGAGTTGTAGCTAAGTGAAACTGAACTAAGGGCAATTTAGGGGGGTATGACATAGAGAGGAGAGGTCATCAGGAAGAGTGGGGTATAGCTGTTTAGAGGTCAGTGCATTGGAGGCAGGATATGTACAATAAATGCAACACCACTGGAAAAGGATCATTCTTCTAAGTTCCAAGGGTTGTTTTGTTTTTGTTTTTGTCTTTTTTTTTTTTGCATCCCATGCCTCAGGAGGTGAGGTGGGGGTGAGCTGCACACCAAATTGAGGAAAAGCATGAAAGGATGCTTTTTTCCAGGGAGGAAGTATTCCACACGTCCATAGGTTATTGGTACCTTGGACAAAATTCCATTTGTACCATGTTAGAGCCCCAAGGAAGAGAATTTGCCTGGACAGAATTAGTGGCTAAACTTTGCCCCCAAAAAGTTTGTCCTTAGCATAAGCATCTTGTTTAGGATCTAGGGACCACACAGTTTCTCTCCCTCTCCCTCTCCCTCTCCCTCTCTTTCTCTCCCTCCCTCCCTTAGTATTCTTTTTCGTTTGACCAGTTCAGGTGAGGGGGAGAATAAACTGTCAGTTGCTATCCTCACCCCCTCTTCCTTATTTGTATGGACGTCTACTTTTGCACATGGATTATATGAGAAAATTTCCTCTAATTTCCTTTCCCTTACCCCTCAATGTATTCCTCTTCCCCTTTCTTTCCATTCTTTTTTTGAGACCATGAAGATCTAACTACCACTTTCAAGTCTTGTTTAATTGGACAACCTCTATGAACCCCGATGATGTTGGAGTTCAGAGGGAACATATGTATCATCTCCTCATATTTAAATGTAAGCACTTTATCGTTGCTTAATCTTTTCTCATTGTCCAGTCCTCTTTACATTTTTAAGTTTCTCTTCACTCTTATGTTTGAATTTCAGAGTTTCTCCTCAACCCTGTTCTTTTCATCAGGAATGTTTCTTGTTGTTATTTAGTCATTTTTCCAGTCATGCCCAACTCTTCGTGACCCCATTTGGCATTTTCTTGCCAAAGATACTGGAGGAATTTATCATTTCTTTCTTTCTATCTTTTCTTTTTTTCTTCTTCTTTTTTTTTTGGTGAGGCAATTGAGGTTAAGTGACTTGTATAGGGGCACAGAGCTAGTAAGTGTCTGAGGCTGAATTTGAACTCAGGTCCTCCAGACTCCAGGGCCAGTGTTCTATCCATTGTACCACCTAGCTGCTCCTTGGCATTTCTTTCTCCAACTCATTTTACAGATGAGGAAACTGAGGCAAATGGGATCAAATGACTTGCCCAGGGTTACATAGCTTGTAAGTGTCTGAGGCTGGATTTGAGTTTTCCTGCCTTCAGGCCTGGTACTCTGTCCATTGGGCTGCATAGCTGCCCAGGAATACTTAGAAGTCTCCTATTTAATTAAATGTCCATCTTCCTCCTGTAGCATTGTATTCAGTTTTTCTGGATAAATTATTCTTTGCTATAAACCCATATCTTTTGCCTTCTGGAATATAATATTCCAAGTTGTCCACTCTTTTGTAGTGTTAGTTATTAAATCATGTTTGATCCTTACTGTGGCTCTTTGGTATTTAAATTCTTTCTATCAGGCTGCTTGTGGTATTTTTTCTTTGATTTGGAAGCTCTGGGATTTTGGCTATGCTGTTCCTAAAAGTTTTCATTTTGGAGTTTCTTATGGAAGGTGTCCAGTGGATTACTTTTATTTATACTTTGACCTCTGGTTCTAAGAAGTCTGAGCAATTTTTTTTTAAAGATTTCTTGAACTGTGATATTTGGGTTATTATTTTTATTTTTTTTTTGGTCATAGTGTTCCGATAATCCAATAATAGTTACTTTTCTCATCAACCTGTTTTTCCAAGTCATTTGTTTTGGCTATTGAATACCGTCTGTTTCCTTCTGTATTTTCAGATTTTTTACTTCATTTTAATATTTCTTGTTGCCTCATGGAGTCATTAGCTTCCATTTGCTCCATTAGAATTTCAGGGTGCTTCTTGCTTGGGCAAGGTTTTATATCTTTTCTGCCAAGCTATTAATTCCCTTTCCAGTTCTTTCTTCCATAGCTCTCATTTCTCTTCTATTTTTTTTTCTCTAGTGCTTTCAGTCTATTTATTTTTAATACTTTTTATTTAAACTATATTCTTGCTTTATCTCTTCTAGGAATTCTAATCAAATTTGTGCCCAGACCATGTTTTTTTTTTTTTTTCTTTGAAGCATTGCGTGTTGATGTTTTGGAATCATGGTCTTCATCTGCATTTATGTCTTAAATGTCTCTGCCATCATAATAGCTCACTATCATGGGGTTCTTCTTTTTTGCTGTTGTTTGTTTACCCATTCTTCCAACCTATTTCCTGACTTCAGACTTGATATTAGTGCTGGAATCTGTCACACTTCTGGAGGGGAAGTATGGGCTGATTTTATTGCTGCATTCTTGGGGGTACTGAGTGTTATTTTATCCTAGGATTTCAAGGATTGGCTAGAATCCTGCATTGCTACCAAACTAGTCAATGCTCCCAAACTAGTCAAATCCAGGGCAAAATCTAATTGTTGTCTTCTTGGCCTAAACTCTACACGTTTTTTTTTTTTAACCTGGGTTTGAGTCTGTGTAAGAGTAGACAACTACTGAGTAGACTCCACTCCTATTAGCCAGCTGGAAAATTCTGTTGGTTCAAAGCAGCAGAATTGTAGTGTCCTCTTTGGTCTGGGATTCCTGCCTTGTTCTTTTTCTGCGGGCTAAACTAGATGCTGCAAGTGATACCTTGCTCTGAGCTTGGAGTCTGAGTCACCTCATTGCTGTTGCTGACTTTTGAACTTCCTCCTTTCTCAATACATTGCCCAGGACCTCCCTTCCCAGGAATGCCAGTCCCCTGTGCAAGTGGCCTTTTCATTCTGTACTAGAGTTTCAACCCAGAATTGAGAAGTGGGCAAAAAAGCTGCCATTGGCACAGGTCCTGTCACGTTACCCTGGTAAAATCTCAAGATGGTATAGGACCTCATTGTGCACTGGTGCAAAACCTTTTCTAGGGTGTTGAATTGCTTTCTAGTTTGCTCCTATCCCAACCCCATTTCCAGTGTCTACAAAACTTCCTGTGAATCTCACTGTGAGGAATTTAGCTGTACAAATGACTCACTGTACCTTTTCTTCTAGATTTTATCATCAAGATTTGTTATGGTGCCTTTTCTCGATCTGCCGGAGGAGTGTGTAGAGGGGAACTGACTATATTGCTTCCTACTATTCCATGATCTTGGCTCTGTCTCCTCCACAAAGTCCCTCTTCATTGTAAAATGTTTCCTTATTCTCCCCATTAATGCCTCTTGCCAACAACAAAAAAATACTTTGTCTATATTTTGCATAGACTAATTTTGTGACATGTGGTCTCCATCTCTTCCAATAGGATGGGAGCACCTTAAGAGTAAAGACTGTTTCATTTTTGGTTTTGTACTCCAGCTCCTAGCCCAAGGTTTGACAAAAAAAATGTTTCTTATTGTTTAGTAGTTTTTTAGTCGTGTCTGATTCGTGACCCCATTTGGGGTTTTCTTAGCAGAGACACTGGAGTGGTTTGCCATTTCATTCTCTAGATCATTTTACAGATGAGGAAACTGAGGAAAATAGAGTTAAGTGACTTTCTCACAGTCACACTGCTAGTAAGTGTCTAAGGCCAGATTTGAACTCAGGAAGGTAAGTCTTCCTGACTCTGGGCCTGCCACTCTATCCACTGAGCCACCTAGCTGCCCTTGACAAAAAGTAGATACTTAATAAAGTATGACTAATTGATTGCTTGATTGATTGCCTCCACTAAGCAATAACTACATCTGAGTGGGGAGTCTATGAGGCCTCAAGTACAACCAACCAAGACTCTGCAAGTTCACATATGACACCAGCAGTTTAGATATGAATCCCTGGGAAGGTCTGCCGTTAATGGAAAAACACAGAAAGGGCG